TAAATATAATTATAGTAAACTGTAATACAAATAGTAAATTCAGTGACCAAATCGTATAAATTTCGTGATAAAATCAGTGATCAAATCATGTAAATTCCGTATGAATACCGTGCAAATTCCGTATCCAAACCATATTTTTAGTGATACGGAATTGTGCATTTTTCCGTATCCTATTATGATACGTTATTCTAAGGAAAAAAATCATATAAAAACTTTATAAAAAACGTATCCAATTTTTTTATAGGGCATTATGGTCCAAATTTGAAAGCTCTTGGTCTCAATTTTCTCCAGCTGTAATTTTTGATTTGTATTGTGCAACCACAGCCTACTTCATCAATACACACTCAGGCAACTCCAACCTGGACAGTGCCCATGCCTTAATTGAATGGTATCGATTTTTTAATCATTTTGACATATTATTTCACAATATATAGGCTAATATTATTTTATAATTAGTTGATGTTAGTGACGATATTATTGGTAAAAAAAAATTGCATTACACTATGTGGTTTTACAGTTACCTGATGTCTTTCATCACAATAAATATCACAGATCCGTCAGCCAAATAATGGATACTGAAAACAATTCATGTAATTACTAGATAATATGTCTGATTATATTTTAATAAATGGAATACTAACATAATTTTTTTAGCTAATATAAATAGAAATCCAAATTGGCAGCATCCTACTGCAAAGTAAGTATTGAATGTAAATGCTCTTCTTTAGTAACACTTAGTATTGATGCTTTTTTTATAAGTTCGATAAACGAAGATTTTCAGTTGCCAAAGGTGTGGGCTGGATCAGAACCAAATTTTTTGTAGGAGAAAAAGAATGACAAAGATAGAAGGTCAAAAGTTTGTTGGAACTGTTTTTTTAAGTGGTATTATAAATCCCCAAGATAAACTCAATGCACAAGAAATGCATAATGAGTTATTAAAATATGTGGAAACAGAAGAAATTAAAGAGCTGGACGTACCAAAAGTCTCCACAAGGTTGGATTAGTAGATATGCAGCAGCATTAAAGTATATCAAGCACAGAAACGACACCCTCAAAATAATAGTCCCTAAATTTTCCATTAATAATAGCCTTGCACGTTATAAAAAAATTCATGAAAAAAAATATAAAAAACAATTGAAAAAGCTTTCATTTGATTATAAAAACATTTATTATAAAATTTCCATTACATTAAAAAAAAAATTTGTAAAACTTTTGAAATTCGTGCGTAATATGTATAAAACTATATTTAATATAAGCTGGAATGGAAACTTCCTCCAAAATAAACTTGATGAATTATCTATCTACGATGAATTTTTTTTTTGTTTGAACTTGTTCACGGTTCATGTTTTTAATTGGTAGTTTATTGTCACATTTAAGCATCGACAAAATAGGAGCCAAAATATGTGCAATGACGTTACTTATAATATGAACTTATTACTAATTAATTTTGCATTAATTAATCTATTGAGTACTCAAAAGGAAATAAACAATAATATATGTGAATAAAAATTTCATAGGGTTTCGGTCAAAGCGTTTGAAATAAAAAAAAATTGTAACATTAAGCATACAGTAAAAGTATTACACTACAACAATGAGAAATCATTAAAAAAGAAATATTAATTAATAAACTTTTATTATTTTATTGACCATTTGGTATGATCTAGCGATAGTGTAACAGCCCAGTGATCTGAGCCTCACTAAAAGGTTTTAGGCCGATGACAATAAAGCGTTAATTTATAATCCAAGAACCAGCATAAGCTGTTACTTGGTTTTTGGTGCCTGTATTAAAGCAGTACTTAATTGTTTCCCCATTATAACCTCGAATCACTTGGGTGTAATTGTGCATATCAAAGATCCTAGAAAGTTCATGATCATTAGAAAGTGCCCTCAGCAAATTTACTTGTATCGGTCTTCCATCATGTGCATATATCGTCATTGCAATCTCCACATCAAGTGCACCATGATCATGTTTGTATACTTCCTGTGCACAAGCATCAGCATCAGGATTATTAAAATTATCCCATACTGTGTAAAATTCAGAACTAACACACGTAGCATGTGGACGATTTAGGTCTTCATTGATTGCGTGTTCATGTTCAATACAAACTTCATCTGGTTCACAATCTGTAAATGCTATGATTTCTAGGGTTGGGTTTTGAGGGTTTTGACAAAATACCTGTATTCTGCCAACACTGAAGCAAAGGGAAGCTACATATGTAGTACCTGCTGGGCATTGGGGTACTGTTGTTTCTATTGTGGCTTGGCCCTCGACCATGGAAGTCTTGATCACATTGTCTAGAGGTGCTCCTACAGCTATAGTTGCAGTTGCAACTAAAAAGAAAAGGTATAATTTACACAATCGAGCAAATCTCATTATTGATGCAAAAGACAAGGATAAAAAAGAGATGGAAGATAAAAGTGCTTTAAGTTGTTAAAAAAGTATTAATTCCACCAAAGAATTTGAATGAGAAATTAAGAAATAATGTGAATTTGTTCTTGTAAAAGGATGATAATATTATCGTTGTTATCGTTGTCAGAAAAGTAACAAAAAGGATTATACTTTTATACACTTTACCAAACTATGATATACAAAATCATTTCCTTAATTTCCAAATTCAATAAAGGTATTTTAAGGCGTGTTCGAAATTGATTAATCAATTTGGCATTTATTGAACGTATAATTTAGTGTTTGCATAATTTATATATATGCGTCAATTTTTTGTTTAGTAATACAAAAAAAGGTAATAAAAAATTTGATACATAAATTAAACGTTTATATTATAATTATATGCTTATTAATTACTGAAAGTCGAATAATAGGAATAAGTGATGCCCCTATAAAAACGAAATGTGTTAAATTTATTTTAAATTCGTGTTCATGTGTAATAAATGTCTAAAAAAGCACCATTTTAT